TTCTACGTGGGCAAGCCGGGTCCACCAACTCGCATCAGGTTCCGGGAAAAGATCAAGCTTACCAGCCAAAGAGGAGGCGCTGGTGAGGCAAGCTCCCACGACTTTCTCCTCGACCAGTGTACCAGGTTAAGTGTGCCTTGGTTTTTTGATTAATGAGTCATATCATTGAGCAATGTGGTGCTAATAGACGTCTGTCTGTGCTAGGAGGGACGACAAAGAGTCTTATGGAGTGTTGGGTTGGGAGTTGATGTCAAGTACAGCGTTTGTATAGTAATGATCTGTGTCTCAGTGTGTGTGTCTATCGGTGCGCCCATTAACGCCAGTGCTTAGACGGTGACGTGTTGGTTGTTGGTGTTTACAGTAACTCGCGACTGCACGTATGGAACGGTTGATGTCCATGTAGTGTATCGGAAGAGGGCGGAGCGCGCGGGGCTGAAGTGTGTATTGTAGCAGTTGTATGGCAAGTATTTTGAATCTGCCGCAGCGCGATGTGTGTGTGTGTTGTGTGTTGTGTGTGTGTCAGATTGAGTTTGGTGTTTTCGTCGTGGGTTGTAAACAGTTCCACACCGTCACACTTGTGTTGGCGGCTTCAGGTAAAAATTAAGTGAAGGTGTGGGAGAGTGTGATGTGTAACAGGTGTTAACATTTGCACGTCTCTGTTAAGGCACAACAGACCTAGTAGATCGTCATACATGTAGTATCACCGTGTCAGACTATCACTGACCTAGTCAGAAAGGTGATCCGTTAGTTGTTATCAAGCGATCGTAAAGTGGAAGCCTGTTAACAATCAAAGCCATTCGACCGTACCGTTGTGTCCTCAACCGGATCCGTTGTATTTGATGTTGCCCTGTGCATTTAATTCTGACTGGGGGGCTCCGCATTCCCAAGGGAAGACTGTATTGCGATCTGTCAAGGCAGAGAGTGAGTGGCAAGTGAGCTCGATCGACATTTCCGCTTTGCGTGTCGTCAAAGCAGGGTGATTTATCCGTGGTGTGTGTGGTGTGTTCCGTTCTTCATCTCGCTCGAGTCGGAGGCGGTGTGTGTGTGTTTGGGTTCTTCTGCTTTGTGTTTAGGGAAAAGAAAGGACGGTTTCTCTGAGACCGGATATGCATAAACGATCAGGCGACTCTTAATTGACAGTTCACGGGTGAAAAAACTGCTATCCTGCTCTGCCACTGGCATTGGTGTCCTCGTGCTTTCGAGCTACTTCGACTGGCCAACATTTTTTCCAAAGCTGGACTTAAAGAAATGCATACACTTGGTTAGAATAAGGGAAGGGGATGAGTGAAAACAGGATTTAATCATCAGAGGCGGTCACTATGATACCTTGTGATGCCTTTTGGAAGTGTGTAATGCACAGGTCTGTTTTTCAGGGTTTTTGAATGAGGTTTGCGAGAATTTTTGAATGCTTTTGTGTACCTTGAATGACATTCTTGGATTTTCTGCCAGACTCTAAGTCCAATGTTCTACGCATGTCCGTCAGGTTTTGCAGAAACGACTCCGAAAATCAATTGTATATCAAAAGCAGAAAAAGTGTGAGTTCCCATGGTGAAAAGGTGACCTTTCTCGGATATATAATCTCACCAAACCAGATTCAGATGGAACTACTAAAGTCAGGCAGTTTCCTAAAGTGGTCCAACTCCAGACCTCCAGGAAAAAAGGTTCAGCAGTTCTTAGGGTTTGCAAACTTCTACAGAAAGTTTTATAAGAAACTTCAGTTCAGTACTGCTCCTCTGCAATGTTGTAACGCTCTCCTAAAGTTCCTTCAAGTGGCTTCCCAAGCTGACGTTGCTCCAGCTCCTCAGGGAGAAGTTCACCACAGTCGCCATTCTCACCATTTCCGGATCCCCAGCGCCAGTTTGTGGTTGAGGTTGATGCTTCAATAAGGGAATCGGAGCGTTTTGTCCCAAAAATCCTTGAAGGACAACAGGATTAACACCCATGTGCTTCCTGTCGCCCGTAAGTTGACGAAGGCAGAGAAAGAACATTATGTGGTGGAATAAGAGCTGTTACGTGTAAAGGACCGCTCTGAGGATGGAGACACCTGTTTGGAGGGGCAGAACAGACGTTCTTAGTCTGGACAGGATCATAGAACTTGGAGTATAGTTAGAAAGGCTAAATGCCTCAACCTTCTCGGCAGGCCCAGATGGACTCTATTTTTTCAGTAATGTTTCAATTTCACTCTCTCTTTCCGCCTCCGGAATCTCAGACATCAAGAGAGAACCGAGTGCTTGTCTTGCCCTTTTCGAACCAGAACTTTTCTGTAGAGCCCAAACCATCCTTCCGTTAAACCGTATGACGGAGCCCTTTTCCTGGCAAATAACAGTTGGAGGTTAAACAGGCTAATCTACATTGAACACCCCGGCACCTAGTAAGTGTCCAAACGACCTGCTCTTTGTTCCTGTGTCTCTCCATTCCAAAGTCATCCACTGGCCCCACTCTGTGATCTCGTGCCACCCTGGTGTAAAGAGGACCATGTTTAGGATCAGGCCAGTGGTTTTGGGTGCCGGCCATGAAGAAGGATGTGGCGGAGTTATGTAGCGGCTTGCCGGTGTGTTCTCGGAATAAACCTTGTCCCAGGTTAAGATGGGCTTTGCTTCAGCCGCTGCCGGTTCCCCAACGTCCTGGTCACACACTTTGAATGGGACTTTGTGACAGGATCCCAGTCACCCAGAGCAAGACTACGGTCCTGACAGTGGTGGACCCCGTTCCTCCCATCAGATGGTTCATTTCATTCCCCTAACCAAGATTCCCTCTGCCAAAGGGTACCGCAGATGTCCATGATGAACCACATATTTTAGGATCCCATGGATTCCCTAATGACATTGTTTCCGACGGGGGTCCACATTCATTTCCACTTCTCGAAGGAGTTTTGCACGCTCATAGGCGCCACTGTCAGCTTGTCTTCAGTTATCATCCCTCAATCAATGGCACAGGTCGGAGCGCTGAACCAGGAGATGGAAACTACGCTACGTTGTCTCGTCTCCCCAGAACCAAACCACCCTGGAGCCGACCACCTAACATGGGTCGAGTTGGCACAATACTCTTCCACTGCGGCCACAGGTCTCTCTCCTTTCCATTGTGGCCAGATGGCTACCAGCCTCCGCTATTTTTAGCCAATGAAGTAACGGTTCCATCAGTCCATGGCCATGATCAGACGCTGTCACTCCGGAACCTGGGCAGGTGCTCGCCAGTTACTACTCAGAAGTTTCGGCTCGGATGAAGGCC